TATATATATATTGTGAGTGACGGATCCGCACTCACGCATACTCGCAATTACTCAAATATTTTGCAGGGGCAGGGACTCCAGTATTATGCAGGGGCACCACCGACGCTATAAACTATTATTGAACATATACATGAAAGTATTTTCATGTGTTGAAAATTTGTCATCCATGTCTGTGTTCAAATAAATTCTTTAATATCCTTCATATAAGTTCTGACAGTCTCTAGCATTGGACATATCAATGAACCGTAGTTGCGAATGTTTTACTCCTGTCCAACCTCTAATGGCCTAGTATGATACATCCATAAGGGGTATGAACTGGTAACATTTCAATTTCAGAATTATAAACGCCGTACAAATACTTGCTGGTACGAATGATGTTGAATAGTTAGAATTTAGTACAGCTACATATTTGCTACATACAGATAATATGCACATAAAAATCACATGTAAGCTGCTCTTCAGCATTATTCTGTAATAAGATAATTCTCAATTTGTTCAATAAATTCTGTCGCAACGTCATTTACAAATACATTTTATTCTTACCCAGATTTCCTTGACACTTCCAAATTTTCGTCCCTAATTTTTGAACAGATTAAAACTACAAACTATTTGTATTGTTTTCTATTTCTGCGATTGTTTAGTAGGCGAATCTATATAAACATTAAAAGACCGTTGTATTGTAGTTTATGTGTTAGTTACATTTTAATAAAAATTGTTAATTTGCAAATCGGAATTTGCACGCAGAATGTAAATGTGAGAAGTCGAATGTAAGAATGTAAATGTGCTTCCGCAGCATTACTCCCAGTTTGGTTTTCTTCATATTTATCTGAAGTTCAATAAGTTACCAGACAATACTGTTCGTAGGTTTTTGAAAATGTTTTTTAAAAAATACGTAAATACGGATGTAAATGAAATGAAATCTGCCGCGCGACGATTCCCTTGTCGCATTCTACGTAACATACATAGATATATTTGGGTGGCGGTTTAATTTCCGGCATACTCACTAAGATGGCAGCTCAAAAACACGGTTTTTGAAATTTCTTAGAAACTTTTGGCCGGATCCGAAAATATTGTCAGGTCTCCACCAGGAGACAGACGCGTCGAATTACACCTCATACGTTTCGATTAGTGCACGGGAGATCTAACCATGAGTGACGGTCCGCACACCCACGGTTTCTGAAATGCTGTTGGGGATACAAAAAGCAGCCTACAGTTACTTTATCGTCAGATCATCTGACGATAAAGTAACTGTAGGCTGCTTTTTGGATCCCCAACTGACAGCTGCTCCCCTGACCAAAAAGACATATCCTGTGTAAGATTTGCGGTCCACATGGCAGCTTTCCCGGTCAGCGTCTGTATACATTATCGGATGGACCTTATTTTTTGTGAACAAACCTACGTTTGTCGTACCTCTGAGGTACCTCAATACCCGTTTGGCGTCTTTCCAGTGGACCTCCGTATCACAATCCAAAAATTTGCTCAGTCGACTGATGGCATGCGCTATGTCGGGTCTGGTTCCCAATGACATATACATCAGCGCTCGCACCAGCTCTCTGTAAGGGTGTTTCTCGAGACTGTCATTCGACCGTTCATCATTCCTGACTAGCCCAGGTTCCATGGGAGTTTCGACTGGATTGCAATCGAACATCTCGAATCTCTTCAGGACGTCATTCAAGTAACCAGACTGGCTCACTGACATGAATTCCTTCTCTCGCACAAATTCGAATCCCACACAATGCTCCAACTCACCTAGTTGGAACAACTCAACCTCGAACTTGGCTTTCAGGTATTTCTTTATGCGGGAAATCTAGGCATCATCACGGAACATTGTGATCATGTCATCGACGTATACGATGATGTAACTATGGTTGCCTATCGGTCCAACGCAATATGCACAAGGATCAGCTTCTGAAAGTACAGTCGAAGGTACTGTACTCCGTACTGTCGAAGTTCTCTATCCAACCTGCAGTGCTATGCCCGTCCTGCTTGACGCAGGTTGTTCAAGAAGCAAACCACATCCGCACTTCTCAAGGTTCGCAGCATCCTCTCTGCTTCGTCGATGAAGACCGTGTCTGCTCGCTTGGTCGTTATGATGAGTTCCAGGATTTCATCAAGATGTTCCACCACATCCATGTAAACGGTTTCCTCGTTGTTTCCATTAATATATGCAATCGTAATGTCAACCTGCTCGCTCTTTTATGACGTTGAAATGCTACGGCCACCACCGCCCGTATCGAGCTCAACCGCGCCATCGGAGCAAACATCTCAGCGATGTCGATTCCAGGTTTCTGTGTGAATCCCTGTGCCACAACCCGTGCCTTTCGTTTCTCGATTTCTTACATGGAATTATATGCGTTTCGGAGAACAAACCTGCTTCCAATAATAAACTTTTAAACTCGTGGACGGTCAACCAGTCGGCAATTTTTTATTCTTCAACAATGAGATGACTGTGGACATCATTGCGTCCTTCCACGCTGAAGAATCAGCTCCTCCAACTGCGCACCAACTGCCATTGGGATTTCAGCGGCGTAAATAAGCTCCATATCTTCTCGAACAACCTGTCGAGGTCTTCCGGGTTTCCTCGTTCTAATGAGACGAGGACGCCCACGTTTCCGCGTAGACGCTGGTAGTTCACGTTCATTTGCTGTAGCGTCTTGTTCCGCTGCATCAGGTACATTCTCTAATCCCCGAAATTCCGTCTGCTCTCCTTCTGAATCGTCCAGGAAACTTCCGCTGTAGTTCTCTTCGGTTCGTGGTCCTTCGGGTTGTCCTATGACATCTCCTCCCTCGTCAATATGCACAGTATTTGGTTTGGCTTCGACGTCGACGTCTATCATTCGTTGTCGTTCAATCTGTTCGTGATGTCTCTTACCGAGTAAAAATCCTCGACTGGTTCGATCGAATCTGCGTATGTTCCGTCGAGAAACTTCACGTTTCTCGTGACTTCGACCCGCGAATTTTCAAGCGTCGAATTTTCCCTTTGCAGGTGACTTGTTGAGGCAGAAGACCTTACACCCGAATTCTTTGAAATACTTCACGGTGGGCACACGACAGTGCCAAATTTCGTGTGGTGTCTTGCCATCCAATTTCTTCGTCGGCCAGCGATTTCTGTTTAAGTTTGCAGCATTTACCGCCTCGGCCCGAAATGACGAAGGTAGGCCAGATTGAAGTAATAAGCACCTAGCGGACTCCACCAAGGTCCGATGCTTGTGTTCTGTCACGCCATTTTGTTCCGGTGTATAGGCCACCGTAAGTCGATGTCGAATACCTTGTGCCACCAAGTATCTGCCGAACTCTTGATTAACGATTCGCGCCCATTATCAGATTGTATGTTCCTGATCCTTGTGCCCTGTTGCTTTTCAACCTGGAACTTTTTGAATTCATCAAGTACGTGCAACGTTTTTGTTTTCTCGGTTCATTTTACCTTACATCTCGACCTTACCTCGGTCCATCGAGAATGGTCATCAGAGAAAGTTATGAAATATTTCGATCCACCGTTGGACGGGGTGCGCATAGGGACGCACACATCCGTATGCACTTCTTGGTCACGCGACGCGATTCTTTTGGAAACGATAGTCGCGTCGTATTCCCCTGAAGACAAACTTCAAAATTCAGCTCTCTGTGCTCTCCCAATGAATCGATGCCACGAATTGCTCCATTCTTTACGGTATCTACCAAATTTCGAAAGTTCAGATGACCCATCCGTCGATGCCTGTTCTGATTCTTTCTTGTTGATAACATTGGTTCCGCACTTCGTTCCTGTGTTGATACTCCGTTGCCATTCTATCTATTCGACGACGATTTTCCCTTCACATAGTAGAGATTTTCAACACGTTTCGCGGTCAATTTGACATCTCCCTCATCACCTACGACCGTGACCTTCTCGTTAGCGAATACTACCTAAAAACATTTGTCAGTGATTTTGGAAATGGAGATTAAATTCATACGTAATTCCGGCACGTGTAATGTATTGTTCAAAGTCACGTCCGTTTCTACGCCGTTCAGGATTGTTGAAATATCTCAAAAGGCTCTTCAACAGGTTGGCTTTGCGCGCAGGTCCCTTCGATTGAAGGTTTCCTCTAATATTGTCCATAAATCGCGTGCAGTTGCGCAGTTTTTAATCAACTTTAGTTGCGCAAATAAACAACATTAGATCAGATTTGAGGTTTTTGTCGTTTGTGACCCACGCATGTACGGCTGTCGCGTTTTCTTCTCCGGGTTCAGGCTTCGTGATCGTCCCGCTGACATATCCCCAGGCGTCGTTCTTTGCTAGTAAGGCGTGCATCTGCAGTTTCCATGTATCGTAATTATTGCGCCCGAGCACTTCGATACGTATGGTTCCGGAACTATAATCACGCGCAAATTACATCTACAACAACGCTCGACTGCACTATCAAGTTACTCGGGCGTAAATTGTCCGAATGCTCCGATTCAGTTCTGAAGAAAGTTTTCGATCGCGACACACGAAGATGGTGACCGACTCGTGCAGACACAACGTCCATCGAATGTTCGAGAACTTGTTCGAACTCGCAAAATTCGCGTTTTTGCGTTCGCAGCATACAAACTGACACTCGCGGCACACGGCTCTTCGAAGTTTTCGCCTTTGCCTTGCACCGTTCCGATTCCGCAACTCCTCGACCACGTGTCTTGATACGTTTCCGTTCACTATGTTCATCTGGTACCGTATTAGCTGCAATCCGTTGTTTATCTACCATTAACACCATGCCGGGGGCATGGGCAATTCCATCACGAAGAGTACAAGTCCTTCAGACTTCGTGAATTCTATTCATCCACGATCGGGGTGTTATAATAATAATAATAATAATAATAATAATAATAATAATAATAATAATAATAATAATAATAAT